AGCAGCAGTTATTTCAACTTCAGTTTGTGCTGGAGTTGTTGCCATGACGACTGTAGTTTCTTGAACCCCAGTATCTTCCTGCACCTGCTCAGATGAAGCATTGGTTATTTCAAATTCAGTTAGTGCTGGAGTTGTTGTTGCCATGATGACTGTGGCATTTTGAACGCCAGCATCCTCTTGCATCTGCTCAGATGAAGCATCAGTTATTTGAAATTCAAATGGTGCAGGAGTTGCTGTCGTAATGTTGGTTGCTGTGTCTTGAACCCCAGTATCTTCCTGCATCTGCTCAGATGAATCAGCAGTTATTTGAAATTCAATCGGTGCAGGAGCTGCTGTTGCCATGATGACTGTGGCGTATTGAATCCCAGTATCCTCCTGCACCCGCTCTGACGAAGCAGCAGTTATTTCAACTTCAGTTGGTGCTGGAGTTGTCGCCATGATGACTGTGATGTTTTGATCCCCAGTATCTTCCTGCACCTGTTCTGATGAAGCATCAGTTAATTCAACTTCAGCCGGAGCTGGAGTTGTCACCATAATGCCAGTGGCTCCTTTAACCACAGTATCCTCCTGCATCTGCTCAGATGAAGCATCTGTTATTTCAACTTCAGTTAATGCTGGAGATGCTGTCACCATGACGACTGTGATATCTTGAACCCCAATATCCTCCTGCACCTGCTCAGATGAAGCATCAGTTATTTCAACTTCAGTCGGTCCTGTAGTTGTTGTCGCCATGATGACTGTGGTATTTTGAATCCCAATATCCTGCATCTGTTCTGATGAAGAATCAGTTATTTCAACTTCTGTTGACGCTGGAGTTGTCGCCATGTTGGCTGTGGCGTCTTGAACCCCAGTATCCTCCTGCATCTGCTCAGATGAAGCATCCACTACTTCGACTTCAATTGGTGCTGGAGTTGCTGTTGATATGATGACCATGGCATCTTGAACCCCAGTATCCTCCTGCATCAGCTCGGATGAAGCATCCACTAGATCGACTTCATTCAGAGCTGGAGTTGTTACCACAATGCCAGCGGCTTCTTCATCCTCAATACTCTCCTGCATCTGCTCACATGAAGCATTGGCAATTTCAACTTCAGTTGATGCTGGAGTTGCTGTCGCCATGTAAGTTGTGGCGTCTGGAACCCCAGTGCCATTCTGCACCTGCTCGGATGAAGCATCGGTTATTTCAACTTGAGTTGATGGTGGATTTGTTGCCATGACGACGGTGGCATCTTGAACCCCAGTATCCTCCTGCACCTGTTCTGATGAAGCATCAGTTATTTCGACTTCAGCAAGAGCTGGAGTTTCTGTCGTCACAATGCCAGTAGCTTCTTCATCCTCAATACTCTCCTGCATCTGCTCGGATGAAGCATTGGCAATTTCAACTACAGTTGATGCTGGAGTTGCTGTTGCCATGATGACTGTGGCGTCTTGAACCCCAGTGTCCTCCTGCACCTGCTCGGATGAAGCGTTGGTTATTTCAACTTCAGTTGATGATGGATTTGTCGCCATTACGACCGTGGCATCTTGAACCCCAGTATCTTCTTGAACCCGCTCAGATAAAGCATCCACTACTTTGACTTCAGTCGGTGCAGGAGTTGCGGTCGTC